GTGTGTGTGTGTGTGTGTGTGTGTGTGTGGCGTGTGAGGTATAAGTTAAAATTGAATTTTTCTCCAAATTGCCAGTCATTTATCTTACTACCACCAATTGAGGATTCTTTTCACAATGTGTTATAATACCATATTTTAAAAATGTATTTGAAATCCTCTTATAAATTATAGTAAATATCTGGGGTACCTGTCTATCCTAGACAGGTATTGATTGATGCCACACGGTTTTAATTATCATTATTTTTGAACTGTGTTCCAATTTGGACCTAGAATTGACAAATATTCAGATTAATCTTCTGTATTAGGTCAGAAAATGGGGAAGGTATTGCCCTCAGAAGACATGCAGGAATTTGTGTAGCAGGTCTTTTTGTTACCCCTTTGGAAAACTTTAGGAGCCTAGAAATTGCATCCTCGTGTAGACAAGCCCTTTGGTAGATAAGCAGATAGACAAGGAAGCTTATGCACCCCTGAAGGGCCAAACCAGGAAAGGCAGATGGAGGTTCCCAAACTGAATCCTTGCTGGGAATGGTACATTAGAGAATGGCAAAGATGTCAGGGCAGCAGTGCCCACCAAGGTAGGAGGGCATTAAAGGGCAATGTGGTTACTCCACAAATGGCCCCAGGCCAGCTCTGAGTGAAGGAGTACAGTAAAGGCAGTTTGATATACTGTAAAAGTACAGACTTGGTGCTGCTGTATGACCTTGAAAGTTTCAGTGATCCCTCATCTGTAAAGGGCAATAATGGTATCTGTGACGCCTACTTCATGGCAATCTCGTGAAAATAAAAATGAGTTAATATATGTGAAAATACTTTGAAATGTTGAAACTGCTATTAAAGGGTTTATAAAAAACTATTGCTATTGGCCATCAAAATAGTTTTTAAAAAATCAGAGACTTCTATTTCTATTTAGGTTGTTTGTGTCACTTCTATTCTTTTTTTAAACTCAAAACATTTATAATAATGACACAGCAAATAGTTTTGCATATATTAACTCACTCAACCCTCTCGACAGCCCTCTTAGGTCGCTATTATCTAGTCATATCTAATGGGTACCATTACTGTCCTTGTCCCCCTTTTACAGACAAGGAAACCGAGAGACAGTAGAACTGAATGATTTGCCCAAAACCACACAGCTCGTCAGTGGCAGAGCTAGGACTGAGTCCAGGAAATCTGGATCCAGAGTCTGTGCCACTGACAGCTTTTTAAAAAAAAACACGTGAAATTTCTTCTATATTTTAAAAAATACTTTGCTTTCTTTCAGCTAGAGTGATGGGAGACCCCTTTCTCACAGGGGAGATAGGCCTGCTTGCACTCAAGTATTCAACAGACAAAGGACAGAAATAAGGCCAATATTTTCCAGTGCTGCTCCTGGAGACATTTTCCAAATTTCTGGAACACTTGACCCTCTGCCACCGGCTGATAGAAATGAGTCTGGAGAGTGCACACTTAGCTCTGTCAGTAAGGGGGACCAAGGATCCAGGTGGTATATAAGCTTTGCAGCGAGATATGGGGCATAAGAGACCATGGGGCTCCCTGCCTACAAGCCTTGCCCCCTCTCTGCCCCCAGAGCAGCCAGAGTGAGTTTTCTAAATGGATAAAATGATCTTCTTGCTCCCTTGTTCCTTCTCTCTTCCAAGCCTCCCCACGTGCCTCTCTGACC